GGAAAGGACTTTTTTATTTCTTGATTACATAAGCAGTACTGTTAACTAGTTAAAAGGACATATTGTTTCAAAACACTCTGCCATGACCAGGTTATGTCATAGCAAATCCAAATTTTGACTCTTTTTCAAGGTTCCATGGTAAAAACTACATCAGTGTGCATCATATCTTGCAAGGGTAAATCATCTTGAGACTGAAATAAGAATTGGTTGTTAGTCACACCTGAGATATATACTGATGGCCTAAAAGTGGGTACCAGACTCCAGATCAAATGATATGGGCTGGGTCATTATGAGGTGTTTTCTGTCAAGATTCTTTGTTCTTACAATGCCTCTCTTCAGAGTGTCAAGCTTTGACATGACTCAATTTTCCCAAAAAGTATCATCAGATTTTTTTTTCTTTTTTTTCCTTTTTTCATATAACTAAACTTGTAGTTCTAGTGGCTACATTATGGTTTTAGGTTGCTAAATAGTGACTGAATAGATAGGCTTGGAGCTGTGTTATCTGACTCATACCTTGAAAGCTTGAACAGGGTGAGCCACTTGTCTCATGTTGATGATATAATCATTTTGAACATTGCATTGCGTGGACATCAAAATATCACCAGACAATCAGTTGAGGCTCTTTTCTCAGACCCAATAAATTATCATTACTTTTGAGAGTGTGTTCTGAAATGTCAGCCATTTAGAATTCTGTCAGAGGTATGGTAATCAAAATGCTACTTTTGTTTAAATATGCGAGTAACTTACCTCACCTAGATATGTACTGCTGGATTGCTTTTATTGTCCATTTTGCATTAGAGTTCTCTGTGCTTTTCTGGGACCAGCTGAATTGCAAATGATGGAGTAAGTGCCTTCTGCACTTTTTTGCATGATAAAAGTTGATCAGCTCTTCTTCTATCACATTGGTGAGTTTTAGAGTTGTCAATTTGTTTTTTTTAATTCTCAGGTAGAGATGGATCATGTTGGCCACAGGATGGAAGAAAGCTGTTCAAAAGGTCTTTTGACCTCTCTGAGGTCAAAGAAGTGGATGAGAGAGTCATTAATGATGCAATAAGTGTGTTTATTTACCTCATTGGTCAGATTGTTGAAGAAATTGACAGGTAGGCTTAGATAAGGGTCATGCTCAAATGATCATTTCATACAATGAAACTTCTAGTGAGCGGATCCCCAATTAAGTAGACACCCTCTCTTAAGTGGATGCTAAGCTGGGTTCCAAAATAAACATTTTATATATCCCTTTATAAGCAACCCCAATCAAGCAGACACCTCTATTAAACCTTTACACCCTAACATCAGTATGCATATTCTCCATACTATCCTCTATACATTTCCAAAGAGGCTGACAAGGAGAATTTGTTAAATAATCAAGAGCTGTTTTAGTTGGTGATCATCTCCTCTATTCTCATGACTTTTGTGTTTGATTCAGGGGTGATATAGTAAGGAGAAAATAGATGCTAGTCACTCTTAGGGGCTAAAGGATTAAGCTTACTTGAACACTAAAATAAATTGCATTTGGCTAATTTCTGTTGTTAAAAACCACTATTTAGCAGACACTGTACTGAACTGACACTGTGGTGTATGGAATTACATCCTTGAAACAGTCAATCAAATGTAATCAAAGAGTCATTGTACGGCATGTATTATTGTGGCTATTTTGCTGTTATGTTTTTGCATTACTATCAACATATTAAAGTTGGTAATGCAAGGTAATAAACTTGAACTGTGGATAGCTTTGTTAACAACATGGAACGTTATTGCAGTACAGAGTAAACATTGAATGTTAATCATAAACGAACATTGTGCAATTTTTACAAACCTCTATTCATTGGACACCCTCTATTAAGCAGACACTTCAGAAGGTTCTGTGTATGTGCATGTATGTGCATACTCAACTTGCCTTAAATTATGCACAGCATGGATTTGTAAAGTAACTGGAGGGATCTAAAATCATTTCAACTTCTTTTAGGACAATTTCTGAGAGGATGTGTGGAATTACTGTTCAGTGTATGGAATAGAGTTATGTGTCAGGGATGCAGTGAAGAATTTAAGATGTGAAAGGAGTGGGGGTCTTAATTGTTTGTGCTGAGGTCCAAAATTATGTGCTAAACAATTATCCTTTTTTCTAGGGTTCCTTCATTCTCAGTGGTAGTGAACACGTCTTTACCAGTTGGAGCTGGTTTGGGATCATCAGCATCATACTGTGTTTGCCTTTCCACAGCTCTTCTGGCAGTAACAGGAAAGATTTCACAACCCTCAATGATGAGATCCATTCCAGGTGATGAGAGAGAGCTATGCCAAAATGAAATGGCATCTCTGTCTGTTAAAGACCTGGAGTTAATTTGTAAGTGGAGTTTAGAGGCAGAAAAGCTTGTTCATGGAAAGCCATCTGGAATTGACAACTCAGTTTGTACATATGGTAGGTAGAAACAAAATAGGATGTTCCTATGTTCCCAGGATACTAATGTACAGTGCACAACCCAACTCCCTTTAGGCCTAGCTTAGAGTTTGATATTATGGTAACCCTTTACACCCCAGTATCAAAATTCTCCCTACTCTTCTCTATACATTGCCTCTGGTGCTGACAAGGAGAATTGGCTTAGCAATCAAAGATTCTTAAATTGATGATCATTTCCATTATTCTTTTAATGAATGACTCTGCATTACAACCCTTTCATGGAGTATTCTCAATTCATTTGATTAGCAGCTGATCATTCTTTTTTAGGAGCAGTTCTTACTTTCCAAGATGGAACAATTGAGCACTTGTCAAGGTACTATATAATAAATGAACATTTGAAAAGCTAATTATTGTCAGCATTATAATTCAAATCAGAGGTGTATTCATTGATATTGAGCTGCGGCAGTTGAAGATAGCTGCTCTCACTTGAATTTTGCCTCCACTACTTGACTGGGTACCAAGGTGATGATACCCAGGCAGCCAAGCTATGGTACTGTTTGTACAGGTGTTTACAATCAAGGTAAAATAAATGTTCCAAATCCACTTTCCAAAACCCTTAAAGACTAGCTGCTGAAAAAAAAAAAAACAAAAAAAAACAAAAAAAAACAGGGAACATATACCTACCAAAGGCAGTGGTGTAACCCCTGAGATTTTAGATAAAATTTTCTCTGAGAAGAGAATATTACAATATATAAAAGAAAAATCTGGTGACAATATGACAGTCTTTATAAACGAAAATAAGAGAAGGTTAGCTGAAGATTCCCCCCCCCCTATTGAACAACTGCAAATTACAACCTACCAGCTAACACTGCTCGTGCTTTGTACCTGTCTCCAGCCCTCCAATGCAGGCTGACAAAATAGTAATCTTTGCTAATTAGGCTTACCATAACTTACAGGTTTTAATTTATTTTACTAAAATTTTCTTCTGATTCAGGAGTTTATGTCTTTTATAACAGAATTCCACAGCTCAGGGTCTTGATAACAGACACAAAGATACCCCGCAGCACAAAGAAGTTAGTGGCAGGCTTAAGGGACAGATGTCAACAGGTGAAATGATGAACTACAGAATCTTTAGCTGTTTTTTTTTGTCAAATTTTGTTTTCAGGCTTGAATGCCAGTTAGGCCGGTTACTTAACCCTTTAACTCCCAAGATCTGATTGTTAATTCTCCCCTCTTGCTGCTACACATTTCCATGTTAATTAGTTACAAGAATGTGGTGTTGGATCAAGGCAACAACTACAACTTGATAAGTTTGGGTATTCTCATTACCTGTTTGCCAGACAATGTGTGACAATTTATTGGGAGAAGATACATTTTTATCACCTCTAGGAGTTAAGGGGTTAAGTACATTTTCCAAAAATGAATCAAAGCTGTCTTGACATTATAAACTTTTCAACCACTCTTTTTCTAAAAATCTCTAGCTTCCTTCTGTTTACAATCCTTTGTTTGATGCTGTTGGTGCTATTGCAGAAGAGAGCTGTGTGTATCTTGAGAAGCTGTATCAAATCCAAGGTATGTGTTCTTAGCAGTGTTTTTTTTTTCCAGTTAATATTTTTAATGTGTGTCAAAAGTCGACGTGGCACCACTCACATGTGGATGGAATTTTCTCGAGTGATGTTAACATCAGGACTAGCCTCTACTGACCACCAGACTTTTCTCTTTTTGCAGCAGCTTCACCACCGGAAGAAGAAAACTCTCAAGAGCACTATTGTATGTTGAAGGTAGACTTTTTCCTCTTCATTGTATCATCACACTGTGCTGGCTTTCTAATTGCACGAGTGTGCCTTCCTTGTTTTACAGTGGGATGGAAAAGAGGACTCTTTTAATCAAATGTTTGTCTCCTTTGTGTACGCGTTACACAAATGTGTTTGAGTGTCTCAATTTCTTCCTGGTATATTTTGCGTGACAGCGGTTGTTTCTTTTGTTTGCGTTTATAACTTTGCGCGGGAAATTGGCGCGCAGCCGGCTTAAAGAAAAACCCTTGCGCGTGCCCTACGTTGGATCGCTGTGTTCGCCAAGCCTTCATACTTTCCTCGTTCAGCGCCAATAGTGCTCTCCGTTTACTGAACGCCTGGACCCGAGTATTTCTTCGCTTGAAGAGTTCGGAGGTTGTTGAATAAGGAAAGTAAAGCTAGGGGGGAAAGAAATTTCCTTGTTTGTCTGCCAATCCGTTTATTTTGTTTATGTTTGTTATTTTGGACACAGAAACTTATTGACTTGAACCAACAGTTGCTTGTGACATTAGGAGTTAGCCACAGTTCATTGGACCAGGTGTGTCACGTGACCGCTAAACACGGTTTGCACTCCAAGTTGACTGGAGCGGGCGGCGGAGGATGTACCTTTACACTTGTCACGCCAGGTATACTTTGTCACGTTAGATACACTTTTGTCACGTTAATTTAAGTTTGTTGGAACAGAGAAAGCAGGCTTTGTTTAAGGTGCAATTGCGCCACGCAAATGTTTCGCATGTTTTTCTATTTCTTTGTAATGACCTCTTATTAATGGTTCGCTTACGCCGTTCTCCTGCATGTTGCAAAAATACATAATCCTTCGTAACATGTTCTGAAGAAAACTTATGCACACCTTTTCAAGCCCGTATTGTGTCTTGGTGATCTTCGATATTTTGCATATGATCTTGTGTAGGTAAAATCGTCACGTCTTCCGAAGAGATTATTTCGACCCAAAATAGCAAACAGTTGAGCGTTTATAATCTCCAGGAGACGTGAACTTTTTATTTATGTTACTTTGTAGGAAGAAACTTTACGTAACTCTTACTAAATTTCAACTTAACCCTTTAACTGCCATGAGTGACCAAGACGGAATTTCTCCTTACAATATCAATACAGTATCAGGCAGATAAGTGATGATAATAGCGAAAAAATCAGTCAGGGGGTTAATTAGTTGTTGATCAAATAATAAATTCTCCGAACTAACATTATAAGAATTGTATGGCAGCCAGAAATAAGAAGTACTAATGAGATCTTGGGAGTGAAAGGGTTAAGGTGGCTTCTAACTTTGTATGGGGAGGTTAATTCACATTTAATTTTCCCTGTTGTTGATCTAATTTACAAATTTGTTGCGAACCCAAGGAAAGGGACGATGGCTTCGAAGACAAGTATGTTCAGGCCGGAGTTGTAGAGTGTTGTTCATTTGAACTCCAGATTTAATAGCAAGGTTTCTAGTCAGATACATCAGAACCGTTTCGGCAAAGTCCTTTGCACGAGTCGAAAAGAATTTGCTATAAAAAAAAATTAAAAAAAAAGAAAAAATTGATGGTAGCTTATCGCGTGGAACTCTGGAAGTAAGGCGCACGGAAATGAGGGACTGCTTGTAGTTTACTTTTTCTAAGATATCTTATGGTTCACTTTTATTCAGGTACCAGAGAACTGTCCGTGTCTTCAGTCACTCGCGAACTGACCACTATTGGTTTTGATGTTTGGGATACTTGTCTTGGCGCGCAGGGTGTTACCTTGTCGCGCAACCCACCCACCCATCCCTCGCAATAGGTGAGTTCCACTCGATTTGTAGTCAACAAGGATAAAAAATGATGATGTTTATAAATAAGTAAGTTTATTCTTCTGTAAATGATGTTACTGAATGTGAAATATATATATATATTTGAGCTAGCACGGACACCATAAGGTTAGCGGCCAAAATATTGCTCAATGTCAGCTTTCAAGCGAGTGTATTAGTTATTAACAAAATACTCAAAATGCGGAAGCCTGTAATTTTTTTTGTTATCAAATGCTACATTTCGTTGTAGATTTGATTCTTTTCTTTGCCTAATTTCCTACGCTTAATTTATATCATATACGTACAATGAGCGACCTTTTTTGTGGGTTTCAATAAATAGATGTACGATTGCTCATGCGATTTCAGTCAACTTACTATTAATGAGTTTTTTCTCGCCTGCATTTTTTTGTCATTGCTAAATCATTATATTACATGGCATCTTAATGTGCGCAAGTAAAATATTTATGGTTTTCCTGAAAGAGACTGCCTTGTCGTTTGTAGATCTGTTTAGTTCTTAGAGGCAGAAGTATTCGAACTCTCTTAGCTTCAAGAAGTAACGAAATAACTATCTTCGTTTTTTGTTTTTGATCGCGACCTGGAACCTCTCTTCAACTTGCGGTCATTTACATTGTCAGAATCAAGATGTTGTCTCAGTCGATCAGAAGTTCTGGCCCGAACTCAGGCGTGTCCTCGGCAATTTTACCCAGGTCAGAGGCTTTATGCAGGAGTAGTCACATCCGGGTACCACAGCTTATCGTGCAGCCCTCAGCCAGCCAACCACTGCGTCCCATTCCCCTCTTAGATCTTGGGACAATTCATTAATTGTTGCAACGGTTACAAACATGAAGACCAACTTGAGGAATTTGACCACGCTTTGTGATATACTGGTGGGTGTTTTATTTCTTCTTCCCACGTGTGGGAACATCTCGTTGCTGTACGTGTCTTCGATGGTCTTTTTGGCTCCAGACCAGGCACCAGGCCCCATAAGGCGGTATTGAGCCGCACAGCAAGGCCCAAAATAGCACTTGAAGGCCAGGAGAGGGTCTCTGAAAAAGAGTCGTCTGAAGTCTGGTTTACAGCCAATCATTTTCGCTAGTTGGTCCTTGTACGGAATACTGGATACCTGAAAAAAATAAAAGGGAGATAAAGATTAGCGAAAATTTCATTTATCTTTGATAAAAAGTACTGAACACATTTTGTGAACATTTAGAACATAAAATAGTCTAAAATAAATGAAACAATACTCTTCACCGTAAGTTTAAGGTTATTTAAAAAGGAAACGGACTCAGCTTTTAGTGATCTGTCGCTCGTTTCTAGAAGAATTCCTAAGAAAGGGTTGAGGTCTTGAAACACTTTTTCGAATTCGAGCCACATTTTCACAACGTGCTTTATCGTGCCATTCATTACCCATTCAGGTGTAGGATTTTATCTCCATGTAACTCTAAGTTGTTTCAATTTATTATCCAAAAAAATTGTGGCAGGAAGAACTACTGAACAGATTTTGGAAGTTGAAGGGACAGGAGGAAAAGAGATGGTTCCTCTTGGTAATAAAATTTAGGAAGAGAGTAGCTGTCGCTGAAATACAGTACTACGACTTTTCATACCTGGATTGTGAGCCTCCTTGAGGCATAGAAGGTTTTCCTGATCATCCTTTTCTCAAGTCCTATGTTGTACAACATGAGCTCTCTGCTAGGTAGCCTAGCCTTCCCATTAAACACGCGGGTCACCCAGCGTGCTTGCAACTCAGCCGCGGGAAAGAACGCACCAGAGGACTGGATCAGACCCATGAAAGCCATGGTTGACTTTGGGTGGTGGGGTGGGAACACTTGTTTGTACAGGGATACCTGGTTGTCGTCGACTGGGAGGATATACTTGTCCTTTAGAAACTCAAACCCGATGTCATAACCAGTGCACATTATCACAACTTCCAGGTTATCGACTCTAGTACCGTCGGAGAAAACGACGCCATTCTGCGTAAAATGAGATACTTTAGGCTGCAATTGGATAGTTCCGGTGGCAATACGGAGAGGGAGGTCATCACTAATCACCGTGGGGGCATTTAAAATGCCGTGTTGGGGACGGAGCCCGTACGTCTCGTGGTCAAACCTTTTTTGAGCGGTACGAATAGCCAACCATTCCTTGATCTTTGTCGGAAAGCTTTGAAAGAACCTCGTTTCCACGTGCTGGTCCCAGGGCAGTCCATGCCTCTCCAAGCGTGAAATTACCCAGGCTCCTCTGTGAGTACTCAGATAAACTTGAGAGGCGTGGCGGCTCAGTTCAACTGCAATGTCAGCGGCAGAGTTTCCAAGACCTGCGGAAAAAAATCCCCTATCAATACTGTGACGAGGAGATGTGTAATTTAAGATAAGTTCGGAACATTAAGGACTTCATTCATTCAAGGAATCACAGATGTAGCATTGTATTGGTTATTTGCTATGCTATAATTCTTGAGAAAACCTACTTCTAAGCGACGAATGGACGAATAGATATTGTGACTTTTAATGACAATTTCTCCTGGACTTGTTTTTGGAAGTATTCCCAAAATGCCATTATTTCCTTGACCTGCTGTGATTTTTCTCATTGTTATAAGTGATGTTTTCAGTTCTTCTTTTATTCCAGAAGCGGAGTAATCTCGTACCGAGATCCTACCGTGTTATTGTAACTGAATATGTGGGACTTACAACCGCTTGGCCGTGAAAGCTCTGGGTACAAGACCAATAGCGGAGTTAATAGCGATAGTAGCCGAGGTGTTTGAAAACGAGGGGGGCTTGGGTCTGGCCGCATAATGAACGCCGCCTGTGCCTTGAACAGACAGCTTGTTAACTAGTTTCCCTTCTTTTTTTTTTTTTTTTTTAACTTCAGTAGCTGCGGTCTTGATTTTTGTCAACTTTTTGTTTCACGGGAAAAATGCCGTTGAAAAGGTGGAGCCGATTCGTAGATATTGCGACATTTGTCCCTCGGTTTCCAAGTCTCATTTGCTTTGTGCACGATTATAACAACAAAACATACTTTAAGTAATTAGAGGAAATTTCCAAGTGAACTGCTCATCTATATTGCACTCGAGTCTGCGAGTTTGTCTGAATTTTTCTCCCCAGGTGATCGAGAAGTGCGTCGTTTTCCTTGTAATATAGGCCGTGATATAGGCCACCAGATTATTATCAGTCGACTGAGGCTAAAGCTAATGAGTTTCTACCAATTTAACCACAGAACAAGGAAAATTACCTCACTTTTCCTGAATTCAGTTTAGGGGCCGTGGCCTATATTTAGGAGAACGGTGAGTATATTGCCAAAAAAACCTCATGATGTTATGTTAATATAATTCATGCGAGAAATATACACTGCCATAAATATTTAGCCTCGGGCCTTGGGGTCAGTTTCAACAGTCTAAGTAAATCTAAATTTCTTTCAAACATGTTGGCTGATGAAGTTTCAAACAGTCTGTAAGAGTAATCAGTCCGATTATTTGACGCTTGGGAAATTCATTCAAATTTTTTTGAACACGTTTTTATGTCTTGATATTGATCGATATTTGCTTGTTATTTGGAGACTAACTCGTTTTCACTTAACCCTTCCGTAATCTTCCCTGGCATGATAAATAATTAGTTAAACTTTGTTTTCTAGAGATTTCGCCGAATTTTTTGGGTAATTCTTTGGTGAATACTGCATTGAGTTGATAAAATAGTTACCGCACTATTCCTAAATCGAGCACAAAAAAATTAAATAATTCAGCGGTATTGTCAAAAAGCCAGTATCCAGGCGATCATTTGGAAAATGCGAGTAATCTTTGGTTTTAAATACAGTTTGTTGTCCGCAGAATGATGATTGATAATCTGTCGCCTCAAGCCGGATGTAGCTGGGTAAATTTGTACTCTTTGAAAGCAATATTTCTGATAAACGCTCCTAAGCGCCGTCATTCCCTAAATACGTGTAATAATAGTGGTTTTCAAGTTTTTTTTTTTTACTATATCCCCAGTAGGCCATGATTTAATCCTAATCTAAAGTGTTTACCATAAGAACAGGTGGGTGTCGTTAGTGATCTGTTTGAAATAAGTGTTCTTCACTTACATTCTTCGTCGCGGTCTCACAGTTATTTCTTTACAATGCCTATCTCCATAGTGAGAAAAAAAAATAGTACTACGAAACTGCCCTTGAAGACAAGTGTCTCTAACTGCTATATAACCTAGATAATCTGTAAGCAAATTTGGCTTAAATATTCAAGTGGTTTTCCCTTAACTCAAAATCAAAATTGCTTTGTTTAAGAACGACAAAGCTAATTTGGAAGTGTATTGAATTTGTACTTTGTGGTATTGCGTCAAGATTTTACTGCATTAGTTCTTTTATTGGCATTTGTCACTATGGTGGTTGTATTGGTTCCGTGGCTTTTTCAATCAGTGTTTTTGTTAATGTGTTGCTGAGAACTTCATTGAAGATTCTTTGCTTAACTGTTGGGAGAATGAAGCCATCAAAATCCAATTGATATCGACGTAATTAATCATATATGATGAAATGAAAATTCAGTTAGCGACGGTATTAGAAGAAAGCGGAAAAATCTCCGTACTCCTTACACAATGTGACTCAATTTGATGGATTTTCTTAGGAATCTATGTAAACTCGAAACACTTCCTAGTTCCTTCTTCGGTCTGGTGTAGTTTCTAGTTACGTAATTATCGCTTATCGCCTGAGTTGCTAAAACCATACCTCTGACAATTATAATTATGCAAAGGCAATGAAACTCGCTTCGAAGAATTCACCGTTCAGTTCACTTTACTTACAATTAAGACGAACCGGTGAAACTCTGATAGCTAAACAAGGTGGGAAACCCACACACAAAAATCGAATTTCGCCAAATATTTGGTTTGCAGAAACTTACCGTCCATGCAGTTTCCGCACAATTCTTAACCTGAGAAAATGGATGGCAATCAAAAATTGCTTATTTATGGAAGCATTTTGAGCTGGGATGGTTTCTTGAAATAGGATTTCCGACAAATAGCAAGCGTTTATAGTATTTTGGATTCCATAAAAACAAACTTACCTATGACAAGGACCGCTTTGCCTTCAAATCCTCGATAACTTTTATACTCGTGGCTGTGGAGTTTGCGTCCCTGAAATCTGTCAATTCCGTTGAAGTTTGGGGTAAATGGCTTTGAGAGGTGACCATTGCAGATCATTACGCCGCCGAAAATAGTTTCGTAAACAGTTCCCTCGCCATTCGCGAAAGTCACTTTCCAGTGTCCTGTTTTCCGGTGGTCTGAGGTTCGGCTGATGTCCAGCACTGTAGCATTGAAGTGAATGTGTTTGAGGAGGTCAAAATACTTTGCATACATATGCAGGTACTCTATCACATGACCATGAGGCATAAATGGCGGAAAATGCTTTGGTGCTGGAAAATCTGAAAAGCAGGTCATTTCTTTGCTAGTGTTGATGACTGTAGATTCATAAACCGAACCGCTCGAACCGTCCACATGTTGGGAAAATTTCCAGAGTCCCCCGATGTCGGAGCATTTCTCAAAGCAAACTGGCTCGAGCCCTTCGTCCAAACAGCATTTTATGGAGGTCAAACCGCTCACTCCTGCTCCAATGATGGCGATTTTCATGGCTAGCGTCCTCGTGTTCCGCCGAGTCGGTCGTCTTCAACACAGTTCTAAGAGATGTTCAGGATGTATGATCGCCAGTCGCGGAGAGCTTTCAGTTTGAGTGTTTATCTCTCCTCGGTTGAAATCAAACTAACAGCGCTCTTGAGATACGTTTAGTTATAATTAACGCCAGCTCTCATACCATTGACAACTCTTTTACGTATGAAAACTTTTGTATCCGGATATTGGTGATATTGCGCAGTGCGCTATCTTTGTGATGGGATCCGGAGATATTTCTAGATATTGAATCTCACTGTATTAGAGCCACATGGTCGTAAACAGAGCTTAAAGCGCTTGAAATAAAACAGAATTTCGAGAAAAATCTCTAGTTGTACTCCTTCGTGAAAATGTCTTTTCTCGGCTTGTTCAATGTGCAGCTCTTACTAACGAAAGATGAAAACTGTGCGTGATTTTACTTCAAAAACGAAGGCTTTTTGACACCTAGAGAGCGAGAACAATAGTCTCATTTAGTACCAAACTATTAGCCATTTAAAATCATTACACCGCTTAGAAATTTTTAATTAACCAATTGTATATTTCTATCTAAGGAACCTACGAAGTCAAGGAACGACTTCCTTTCGCTACGCTTCGACAAGAGCAAACAGATTTGCCAGAGCTAAATCTTTTGGAACTGTTTTCCGGTTAGGGCGTCTTCTAATGCGCTCTCCTGAGAGGCTTTTTCCGCTGCTCAAGGCTCAACAATATCTCGTTTGTCTCTTTGACAAAAGTTGTGGTTTGTAATGTATATGCCTTTACACAAATTAGCTTCAAACTGCTGGAGATGAATAGCGAATCAGCATGTGATAATCTGCACGAAACTGTTGGTGTACGAACGATATGCAGATTACAATAATTTTATGCGGAAGGGTGTGGCCTAAAATAATCCCAAACCCATTGTTGATGTTTTTACTTTAGCTCGGAGAGGCGACTGTTGATAGAAGAGAATATGTTATCATTATGCAATCAAAACTTACCTTTTGTTATGTTAACTTTAAAAAGCCCGCACACTCTTGTAGTGATTGTCTGGCCAGTAGCTAGCCAGGGTCATAATTAGTAGTACACTGTAACATATATTTCTAGTACTTTAAATGGACACTTTTACAAGTATCATAAAGATCGAAGATGATATTGTTTTCCGAGATAATCTTGTTTTATAAAATGATTTTGATAATGTGAATTTGCTCTGAAGAGGGCTGAAGCTCAAAAAGTCAGCGTGAGAAATTCTTCACGGAGGCCAATTTTACATTATCAACTCAGTTGATAAAACCAAATTATAACACTGACGCTGCTCCTTGGCCCCTTTAGTCATTTTTTTAAAAATTATATTGTTGGGAATTTGTTTGATGCCTAAATACTTCATTTTTTATATATTTCAAGCTAAAGTGTCTAAGTGCGTAAAGTGTAAGCCTGCAAACTTATCGGAAGTAGATCAACATTAACCGATTCTAATAATAAATCGCTCCACAGTTTAAATTAAGATACATACATATGAGCTTAGTATTTGGCCAAGAGCACGTACTTTGTGGTTCATTTAATAGAGCAACTGACCTCAAAATTGGGAATGGCTGAACAGAGGTTTCTTACATCAAGCTTTTCCTCTCCCTTTTGAAAAGGTTTCACATCTGAATTGACAATGTAGGCCGTTTTTTAGTCACTTTTACACCCGGCCACTTTAAAGATTTCAATCCGTTTTGGTTGAGGGACAGTTTTACAAGAATGAAATGAAGCTCAGTTGGACGTGCTGTTATATTTGGGCGAGCGGTAGTCATGACTTAGGGAAAATTCTCGATTTTTTTCCTGGTGAAATCTGGAGGCAAGTGAATACGGATATCACGTAAAGATCATCCTAGAAAGTTCCAGAGTTTTGGAGTGGTCAGGTGTTTCGAAAGACAAACAACAAGAGATGATTTTAATCGCGAAAGATTATAGCAAGTGATAATTTCAGAAAAACAACATCAAGTTAGTAGTCTAATATCTATCAAGAAAGCTGACTGTGATGATTGAAAGATTTATTTGTCTCTTTTGTTAAGTTGTGGCTAATTAAAAAAGTAGTACCCCTGTGGTGAGCACTGATATGTCGATAGGTCTGTGAAAAAGAGCGAACAAGGTAAAGATTTATCGTAGTCATGTTTAATTTATTATAGGAATCTCATAAGTTGATATTGGTAACCTGAAAAAATTGATTGATCATGGAAGATAAATAAAAATACATGGCTTTTCACGTTTGAAAACGCCGTTTTTAGTAGTCAGAAGAAGAACATCTCACAGATTTCCAATAATCAATGATTGAAAACGGCAGAGAGAGGCTGGTTAAAATATTGCTGACGCCACACCTGCTTTACGCTACACCTCTGAACTCACTGCGCCTGAGACAAGAAAGACTAGACATTGATTACCACATATCAACTTTAAAGTCAGGATTATTTAACTTTGAACAGTTTTCCCTCTGTGATGGAGAATTTTTCATCAGTGACACATACTCTTATTAGGAGTGCTTAGATCCAAACGGAGTTTAGCCTATCACCTAAAGATTTCTCAGGAGCGCGGGTGCTAACTCACTGAAGCATAAATACTCAGAGAGGGACGTGTTAGCCAGGCTTTTGAAAAAGGTTCATATGATGAACATTCCACACAATGGCTGGATTTGAATGTCGGTGTGAAGTTCATAGCTATGATGACGTGGTAATCATCAATGGTAACCGGCTGACCTCATTTTCGAGCGGACGAAATTGTCATTCTTAAGCTAGCAATGTAGCTACCAGTAAACAATATGCAAATGTCAACCTTCAAAACCCGAACCCGCATTCAAACCTCTTTTATTAGCGGACATAATTATAAAACCGTCATTCGTAGTAATGAATCTTTCACAATTACAACCTTTTTTGCAATAGCCGCTTTTGCTTGAAACAGTGTAAAACGGCAAAAGCGACTGCCATCAGAATTTGTAAAAAATGAATACGAATATTATAAACGCAGGCTTAAGCCACGAACACGTTTCTATAAATATAACTGGCTGCTTTCGCGCCTTACGACGCGGCCTAAGCATATTGTCAAAGTGCCATGTTTTTCCGGCATTACTTCAACGAAGAAGCTAATGCATTTGTTTTAATCTCTTTATAAATCAGTAAGTATGGTTTGCGGGTTTTCCCAGTATATTGACCACTGGCCTTGACGATTCTTTTCTTGGCTGATGCAATATTTGGTTTTCCTGTTGTACTTAACAGTAACCGCAATATCTGCGTAATTATTTCGGACGCGTTTTTGTTAACAACACTCCTCATAGTTAAACTGTGAGAAAGGTTTCTTTGCGAACAAAGCAGCATAGTAATGTCTGGTTCACATGCAAATACAAAGTTAACGCAAACGCAAACAGAAAGGAAATGTATCGAATCTTATAGGGAAAATCTATTGTAAAAAGCACCACTATTAGGATTAGTCAAAGTTATGGTAAACAGGGTTTTCAATACGAGTCGGCAACCAGTGAAATTCGCTTTCTATGTGAAGTTAATTGCCACCCATTTTCTCTAAATTTAACAACATCAGGGTAGGAGTTATCTTACTGCCTCGGGTCTGCAGAGATGAAGAGTTAAAGCTAACGGTGCTTGCCCTTAATGCAGTTTCGATTGAGTGCCAAGAAAGCAATTTTAAAGGAATCACAACAGCCAATTAGATGAAAGGAGTTATCGAAAGCCGCCAATAAGAACTCAAAGTGAAAAAAAACTGTTTGAGTGAAGCGCGGGAAAACGCGGGTGGCCGAGTCGTGGGCGATTATGAGAGCAGTGACACCACTAACTCGCTTTGTTTCCTTCCACCACTCTGACGGGAAACACTCCTTCAGGTGTTGCACTCTGCGCTCATAGTAGTTAGATCAACATTTCTTGCCTACATGAATGCAAGAGAGAAACAGAATGAACTGGTGTTTGAGCTGAGAGGCGTACCTCTAGATTGTCTAGAACAGATGTTGTAAGATTTCAATTTTATTCAAAACATTAAATCTTCAAGAATACGCCCGTATTTAGGACGTATTTTTTGTTTATTTATGAAAAAATTACAGCAGTAGGTTATTCTTCATACATTTTTCTTTTTGTGCATATCTCCGAAAAAAACTTTGAAAAAAATCTCTGATCCTTTGAAAAAGTCAGTAAAAGTCTCTGATCCTTTCCAAATTATAGAGGTAATGTTTCACAGAAAAATGGTGCTGGCAAGCAAAAGTATGCAAACAAAAAGTTTTCTATAAAGTTAATATCATCGTTTATCGCAGTTTTAGCTAGGGAATATTTGATGGATTTTTAATTCACGATAGCAGGGTCTTCCTCAGCCATGCTTGGGGATGTTTGTTTTGCTTCTTCTCTTTCCTTTCTTGGTTTCCTTCTTCTCTTTTTGACCTTAGACCTTTCCCTGTGAGAAAAAAAGCGCCAGATTGTTATGATCTATATATTTGTATCTTAAAGCTGTCTGCTGCGATTTGCAATTTACTTCATCTTGCAATAGTTTGTGATTTTCTGGTTAGGATTGTGCAAAGTGCCTTGAAGTCTAAAATGCCTGGATCTTTTTCAGCCAGTATTTTTCCATATTTTTTTTTTTTTCGTTTTTTTTCTTATTTCGCTTAGAGTGCTAAAATGTGTCAGGTTATAATTAGGTAACGCTGAATCTCTCTCTGGAGGGAAAGCATCACCTGATTGTGATGTGCCGTACATTTTATTTTGTCTAAAAGCTGCCTGTCCTGTTCTTGAATCTACTGGTAATCGTCCCTCAAAGCTTTTTTATATAGGCTTGTGCAGAAAGTTTTGGCACCAAAAGTTTCGCCCAGTTCTATTCCTTCTACATTTAGATTCTTAATTTTCCTTTTTTAGTGGTTAATCATATAGTTATGGTTAATCACACACCCATGGCCGGGTATTTCCCTGTAATCCAGAATAGCAGGGTCTTCTTCAGCCACACTTTTTAACGTCTGTTTCCTTTTTTCCTTTCTTCGTGTCTTCTTTCCTTTGGACCTCTCCCTGTGGACAATGATTTTCATATTCTTCTGAGCCTTATTTTTGTTCGAGAATCTGTCTGTGATCTCTAATTAACTACAGCTTGAAAAAGCATACGAACTCTAAGGTTTAGTTACATACATACATTTTTTCGTTTTCTGCCACCGTCAGTCATTGTTGTAATTGCTATGAAGTAAATGAACATCCTTCTGTATGGAATGATTGTACATGTTTTGTATGCTGTATACTAACCAAATTAATTAATGTAGAATGTAGAAGTTTCCCTTCCCCCTGGTTGAATCGCACTTACTTATCACTGGATGTGGCCCTAGAGGCCTGGATTGCAGGATCTTCTTGTGCCAAACTAAGTCTTGTTGATTTGATCTGATCTGAACTCAACTCTTCCACGTAAACCGATGCCATGTGTCTCTCTGCTAAGAGAAGCTCTTCCCAAGTAAGGCGGAGTACCTTTATCTCCTTATCAACCACTTTGTTTTCCCCACAGCTCTCTTGGACTTCTGCAGTTTCTTTCATTTCGGTATCTTGAGAAACGTTCTCGACATGGTTCTCAAAAGAGTGTACTTGTTCGGTAGTGGGTTGAATCTCTGTTTCATATTCTGCAGCGACCTGATCCGACCACTGGAGATTTCTCGCCACCTCAAACACAGTGATATCCTCTAGGGGAATCTCCCTTGAGACAATATCAGCCCAAGATTCTCCTTCCGTGATGTCCAGCCACTGGTCATGTTCAAAGGCATCCCCTTCTACTTCCTCAGTTTCAATTCTTGTGATGTTCGCTTCTTGAATGGCTGTTACCTTTGCATGAATATCAGGGGAGGTGATGTCTTCCCAAATGTCTTCCTTTACATTCTCATCTTCATCAGTAACCATAAGCCATTTAACATCCTCGTTAAGCTCGGCTTTAACCTCTTGCACATCATTGCTCTCCTCCTCCAACCTGCTGTTCTTAGTTTCGTCTGCAAGATGATACAAAGCCAAATTTTACCCTAGATGTATCTATGGTTGGCTGTCACAGTGATCCCACGGAGTCATTGTTACTTTGATGACCCGTCCTCTAAGTATATTTTCCTTTCGAACAGAAACGATGTTTTCGTACCTTTGAAACTTCTCGTTTTCTTGATTTCTTCTGTTTCTCCACTACAAGGGAAAAAATTGATTTTTTTTCATTAATTCACTTCAGCTCCTTTACATTCCCCTCTCCCCTCACATATTCCCGCCCTTCCCCTCCCATTTCATCCTTCCGTTTCCTCCCCACCTTCTTGCAGAAGTAAAAATATAAACACTGGAACATCTAATAGTTGTTCCAGTGTTTATATTTTTACCTTTACATGGGAAAGAAGTCAATTGTTTTCCGTTCGCCTCAGTTTTTTTACACTCCCTCCTCTCAGTTTGCTCCCCACCCCTCTCCTCCCCATTTCCTTTATCCCCTTATCCTTTTCCTTACATCTCCTTCCTTCCCCTCCCCTCCCCTCCCTTCTCCTCCACTCTCGGCCTTCGTCTCCGCCCCTTAAATAAATCTTCGAGACCCACATGAATATTATTACTGAGTGAAGTTTCACATTTCGTTTCAATCTTTCTTCAAGTGACGCAACAAGTAAATGCATTTCTTTTTTTCAAAGATTCATAAGTAAACGAACTGCGAGGAAATCTTCCTTTCTGCCACAGTGAACGGAAATAAAGAAGAAAGGAATATCTAGTGAGAAAAATTGCACTTTTCCCACTTGTGTCTTTTGATAGAGAACTAAATTTGTGTTAAGTCGGATTCTGTTTCATGTATCTTTTTGCTTGCAAAACGTTAACCATTGTGAAAGATGTGGAATTTCAAGTTAACTTTTCGAGATACTTTTCGGCGCGTGATCGGCCCGCTCAACAAGAAAAAGATGTTTTAAGCTTTTCTCCTGTCGTAACAACTTAACAATTTTCACAAGTTTTAAGCCTTACCTTTCTTCGTTATCGCAAAACCCGAAAAATGCCAAAGCCTGTAAAACTTCTATGAAGGTGCGCCAAAATGTTACCAGGGGCATTTTGAGTTCTACTCTCCTTGCGGCAAAATGGATCTCCTCTGAATAAACGTCATAATCAGATTTTTTTCTTAAGCGCGCGTTCGAACGATTGTGCGCCAGTGATGACAATAAGTCGGAAATTACGGAAAGTTTAGACTTGTGGGACTATGATTGCATACTCTAAGTCAGAAATGTTTTTTCTTGAACGGTTTTTTTATTTAAGGTCAACAACCTGTGTTAAAAGTGAGTAGCTTGACTAATACTCACTGTAATCCTTTCCAGGCTTTCCAGCTAATGCGCTGCCATGTTTTATCAGCGGTTGTTTTTGTGGAAACTAGCAGATTTAGTAAAATCCATGGTAACGGATAAAAACGAATGAAAAATGCGATTACAAGTCACCGAAAAAAGATTTGTTTCGAAAACTGAAAGTAATGCGTTGGGGAATTCAACGGATTCTTTATTATAAACAAATAGAACACCCTTGACTGTGCTCAGTTTAAGAAGTGGGAGAAACACTCGACTACGTCTTGTGTTTCTCCCTACCCTTGTTTTGTGCTCTAGCCGCTTCTTACGTGCTTCACAACAGAATAGAGTACAGTCAAGGCTTCCTTATTTGTTAATCAATCCCTCGTATGATTACAGACCGAACTGGACTCTCCTCAGTCCTTTCATCATCATTAAATTAATCACAACCATTACAATTCTCTCATATGTGATTGATGCATTCACTGCTTTATTTTTTTCACTAATTTTTCTTTAGAGTTGTGATTAAACAACGTAATCAGATGGTTGGCTCAGCGGACACCTGTAATCGGACAGTTTAAACAACCAATCATACTAAGTCCAGTCAGCAAAGTGCACCAACCACACAATTTATTTCATAACCATAGCAACAACCATTTACCCTAAAAAAACTGGGAAATTTCAAGTGGCCGAATTTTTGGGAGGACATGCTGATGTCCTCACTGTCATCACTTTGTAGGCGAAGACGAGGGACGGTGTTTAGGTTAAGGGTGGACGTCGAATCGTGAAAAAATTGCTGTTTGGCAGGGGTGGAGTAGGGCAAATATTAAACAATTAATATCTGTAGGAAACAGCTTTGCGAGATACAAGCTTTACACGGTATCATGAGAAGAATTAAATAGAGAATGTATGCAGCCATGAAAGGCTAATTTGTGAATGGGGAAAAATAGTACTACTTTTACAGAAATTACCCACCCGTCTCATGTTTGAAAACCCTGATAATTAGTTTGGTTGCCCCCCAAACAATTAGCTCCTTAGCAGTTCGTTTTCGTGGCGTTAGCTTTTGAGGTACAGTCCTGAGTGAGGGGTTTGTACCTGTCCTTTAAAAACATAATTAGATCATTTTCCTGTTGTCTTACACAAACATACACCACACGAGAGCGGGGTCTCCTAGAGAACCTTGGAGCAACCCTTAAGAGTAGACCTTGCATTGAGGAAACCTGAGAACATCTTGAGCAAAACAGACCTCTATTTGAGCAACGCTGAGCGTTTCGCAGTTGAAATTAGGAACAGTTCAGAACAATACAGGCAGTTCGTATGCACTCTGTTTACTTAGCATTCAAGGATGAATTTCCAGGATGCTTTAAGGGAAGACTCTGGTGTTTTCTCTTACTTTTGTTTCATTTAGAAGCGAGTATTAAAAAGTGTAGTTCGCACCTATGAAATTTCGAAAATGAATCGTTTGTGGCTCACACAAATTGTATCACTTTTATACCCCTGAATTAGGTCACCTTTTTGACGTAAGAGTTCACGTGTAGTCTCACGTGACTTTTTAAGTAAACAAACCGCGTTTTACAGTGAGTCAATCCTCCACTGCCCATGTCCGAACTTCTGCTTCGGCATTTTGTCGGAAATAATTTCCCACTTTCGTGAAGCGTTACTCTGCTCAAAACTGACTTTATCACATGTTTTATTGTTATTTCGCAACCGCTAGAGTAGATGCGAAGAATCTAACAGAAGTATTCCGGCATGGAATAATCAAACTAGTTCGCTAGCTGTTACAATATTGATAATGTATTGGCTGAAAGCCCAACAAAAGTTCCCTTGCACCCAGTTAAAGAGACACATTTGTACACTGTATTTGTTCATGAATCGATTTATCTGAGTATTTATTTATCTAATATATATTTGTTTAAATCAAAATATTTCAATCAGTGTTTTTTTGTCTACTATGTATCGACCTCAACTCTTGAAATAAAATTAATTTTATTGATATAATAAACTGAATCAGTAAAGTGTTATATGGTTATATTGGACTGATACCTGATCCAGTGTATCAGTTACCAAGCTGAAGAAAACCAATAAAAACAATATAGGTTTTGGTTTATACCAACCTTGCACTAAACGAGTTTGAGGTCCATACTTATGTTATAGACCAAATTTTTTTTCACTTAGGCCATAAATCCTAGTGAAAGAAACTTGGTCCATATTAACTTACAGCACAGACCTTGAACTCCGTTAGTAAGATAATTATTATATCTCTGGGTTCAAATAAAAGAAAAGGATTCCAATTCAAACAAACTTTTAAATTTAGCAGTCACACAGCAAAATATGCTACACTTAATTGACCAATCATAGCAAAATACATGCACTATCTGAGATGTGTAATAATGGAAAGTATGTTACCATGCTTAGAAATTCCACTACACCAAAAGTATGCACAAACTGCCACTGTTACTCTAGTATACCCTACATGAAGAAAAAAACTAAGACCAATGCACTGATCAAACAACACACCTAAAGCTACATTATAATACCTGTTGGTAACCTTTAATGGCATTTGGAGGTTCATATGTTTTAACTACAAGGCTGTCTGAACATTGCAAAGGTTAGAAATAAAGAAGGCGAGACTAATCTATGTCATACACCAGTACCAAACTGTGTCATGATATTACAGGGGTCGTTTGTTTGCTTGTTTGTTTAGTTTAAATTGTTTTGTTTGGGATGAGGTAGCATTTGAAGAGCGGTTTGCTAGTGTCAACTAGACAAATGCAAAGGGATACAATAAACAAAAGTTGAACAAAGAGAGCTGGATTAACAAACTTGAAATATGGCTTTGTGCATCATCTACCCTCCAGTGCCCACTATCAATAGGCCCCTGTAACTGTTGGGTGTGTGTCACTTTGTGCAAGGTGTGCTCAGTGATTTGCACACTAGCAACTATTCACAAAGATAAAAGAGCATGATTCAGGACTGCTTCTGCTACCTACTTCCACCAACTAGGTAAATATTTGTAGATGAACAAACCATAACATACCTGGAAAAACTTACCATCTCTCTTACTCTGTTAGTATACATCTGTAATATATTAAGTACCCTCTAGGGTTACTGTGTATGTACCCAGAATACATTGCTGGAATAAAGTTGTGTTGAAGCGGCCATGTTGTTTGACCTCGTGGGTTTATATCACTAGCAATATATTACAACATCACATACCTCTTTAGATTATGAATTATTCTCTGAACTCATCAGAATTTCATGGTGAATTCACCTCTGAACTACTCAAGTTTTCGGCTGAAAATCTTATGATAATGGAAATGAGCACAACAAACAAAGCTAACAGCTTCAAACACACAGCAGCTGTGTTAGTTCCCTGCTGCTCCTTCTTTTGTAAAATGCGTGTCTTTGTTGCATAAATCACATTTCCTGGAGCATCTTCAATAGCTTTCTTGGCTCCTTTCCATGCACCAGGGCCCATTAGACGATACTGAACTGGTGTACAGGGTCCAAAAAAGCAACTCAGGGCTAGCGTAGGATTGCTGAAAAAGAGCTTTATCAGGTTTGGTCTGCAACCAACCTGATTTGCCAATTCATCTGCATAGGAAATGTAATCAACCTGTGAAAGTGAAGGAAGGTTTTTCAGATTAAAAGCTAGCTACAATGCACTCTTGAATAATGATTTAGTGAGATGCATGCATAGTTAACTACTTTGGAGTTGGTATCCAAAATAATTTTTTTTTTAATTACTTCATTTTTGAAACAAACATCCGACATGCTTTAGAGGTCTGAAAGAACCTTTCAGTCAAAATTCTGTAAAAATTTCTGAATGTCAGGCATTTAGCCCAGTTAAGACCGTGCCCAGCTCCTGCCGCATTTAGACACTGCCTTAATGAAACATACCTGGCTTTTTGATTGGAAAGACTGCCCCCTTCACAAGGTTTGGTTTCCTATCTAATGTACCATTAGCATTTCTAAATTTCCTGTACATTTTGAGTGCTTGGTGTTATCATTTTACAGCTACAATCAGTGTGGGCAACCAGAATTACCCCATATTCTGAGACTCAAACATTAGTTGGCGATAGATCCAGCATTTCCACTGGAAAACCTACAAAACAAGGCTGCAGTACAAACACAACCTAGAGCCCTCATTCAAAAATTTGTTAGGGAATGATCATCTACCAAACAGAGTGTGCAATTCTCTGTAATCACATGAAAAATTATACTTCACTGATATGCCATAATGTATTGGAGCTTGGTTATTTTACCTGAATTGTGTGGCGTTTAGAAGCGTAATATCTTCTTTGCATGGCCTCTCTTTTCATTTCAACATCTTTCATCATGAAATCGTTAGGAGGAAGGGGTGTTTTCCCATTAAACACTCGGGTTACCCACCGTCCCTGAAGCTCTGACAGAGGAAAAATGGCACCAAGAGGCTGTACACAGCCAATAACAGCAAGTGTTGGTTTGGCAAGGTTCAGGGGGAACACATATTTGTATAGCTCAACTTTGTTGTCATTCACAGGAAGAATTGATTGATCTATGAACCTGAATCCTATCTTGTACCCGGTGCAGAAGATCACAGCATCTAAGTCATTTACTTGAGTATCATCATCAAAGATAACTCCAGATTTGGTAAAACTCTTGACATTAGGTTTGATGACAACACTTCCAACTATTATGCGGTGTGGCAGAGCATCATTGACCATTGGGTGTTGACCAGTGATTGGATGTTGAGGCTGCAGTGCAAATACTTTGTGATCAAATCTCTCATTCACTATTTTTTTAAAAAGACTTCTTCGAAGTGAGATGGGTACAAGAGACCCGACACGCCTGATGAACTGCTGGTCCATAGGCTCACCTCCCTTTCCCATGCGGGACAGGACCCAAGCCCCTCTGCGAGTACTGAGAAAGACTTGTGGAGTGTGACGACTGAGTTCCACAGCAATATCACCACCAGAGTTCCCTATACCTAAAAATACATAGGTCATTGCAAAACAAAATGCTGCTTTAATCTCATTAGCAATATTAAGTATGTGTGGATAAAGATGCCTGAAAAGTCTGAGGGAAGCTTAAGTGTATGCACAAGGTACTGGTAACCATGAAAACCCTTGAAAGACCACCAACAAGCAAACTGAGTTTTAAGCATGACATATAGACCTGATCACAGCCCATCTAACCACAGAGGTTGTTAAAGGGGGGATGGAAGCCATCCTGGAGCAAGTGAACTTAAAACAGTGGTAGAGATGCAGATCACTTTGCAGGGGTTATTGGCTATCCATTTTATGCAATAATAAGTTAAGACTGATGGGGATCATTGCCTTTCTTATCTGTTTATCATCTGCCAGACAAAGAGTATGCAAAAGGAAAAGGTAGAGGAATTGTGAGGGTTTAAGCAATGTACCCAATTTCCCTTCTGATTTTTACTAGTTTCAAGATCATTTAAAACACCCTTTATAAGCAATTGGCTCCATAACAATTAAATATCTTTGACAAATAATTCAAGGATTCAATTTTCATTTTTAATTTATTCTAGTCATTTTGGATTTGGTTTTGTTTTGTTTTTTTGCTTTTTGTTTCCTGCTTTTTGTTTTGTCTGTTTGTTTGTTTGTTTGTTTGTTTTTT